TACCGGGGCGGGGCGGGGCGGGGCGGGGCCGGGGCCGTGGGCGACGTGGTAGTTAGCCTGCGAGGAGAAAGATGTCAGCTCGGAAGAGCTGTCGTGGCGGTAGTGAAGCGGGTATGAGAAATAGGGTATTTCACCTGACGCAAACCGGATCCAAAGAAGAACAAGAGTTCTTCCTGAACTCTTTCCTCCTTGCCGCTCATTGGCCGATGCCGACGAAGTTCTCGGACCCGACATTAGGGGTTGTCCGCCCTTGCGGCCAGTTCATGAACTTCGTCGGCATCAGCCAATCAGAGCAAGGGAGGAAAGACTTCAGGAAGAACCCTTGTTCTTCTTTGGATCCGGTTTGCGTCAGGTGATATACCCTATCAAACGAGTTCGGTGTGGTCGTATGGAAAGTCGCGGACAATGATGAGCCGTTTTTGCATGTCTTGCGTTCATCTTGGACGTGAGATTGGCGAGGACGTTAACCGTTTTACAGACACCACAGTGATGGGCGCGGCCAGCGATACGACAGCTGGCCTTATCAGAGATAACAGAGAGATTAGGCGAGGAAGTCGGCGCGGCGCGGGGCCCAAAGTCGCAGACGAGCAAACGTATTGGAGTCATTCACATCGACTGCGTGCAGAGGAAGGTCCTGGTGCGGTGCCTCTGGATACAGGAGCAGGATGGGGGACGGCGCCCCGTCCCTTGCAGGGTGAGTGTCCGACTGCGTCGCTGGCCGTCGAGTCGAGTAACCGCGTCGGGTGTACGGTGTTTTGTCAGGGGCGTCTTCTGACCCGCAGGATGCCCGAGGAGGTGCGCGAGCGGGTGGCGCCGGGGACGCTGGCCAGCGCGCTGCTGCTCGCGATGCGGCGGGGGGAAGGGGAGCATTTAGGCGAGATGTGTGTCTCAGCGGCCGGCGCGGTGGGCGGGCTTGCCCTGGAGGACGGCCTGGACGAGGCCTGGCGCACGGCCTGTGCGCTCAACCTGCCGCTGAGCGAGGACATGAAGCGATTTGTGATGTCCAACCTCCTCTCACTCCGCTACGGCCTCTCCCGGGCGGACCCGACGAGCGACGTCCCCCCAGCCCCGGACGCCTTGGTCCGCTGGCACGAGCTGTGGGGCCGCGTAGACTTCATGCTGGAGTACTCGCGGCGCCTCCAGGACGAGCTGGAGCGGCTGCAGGGCCGCGAACGGGCGCCGGGCAGCGCGGACCACAGCGTGATGCTGGCCAGGGTGTGCGCTCTGGCCCTGCACAGCGTCAAAGCGGCCTTCCTGGCGACGTACGACAAGGTGCCGTGGGAGGAGATGGAGTACCTCCTCGTCATGTTCATCGAGGGGTGCACAATTTATCCAACCCTGGCCCACCTGGTGGCCACCGCCCCGAGCACTGCGGCCCACCTGCGGTGCTTCAGGGAGCGGCTGGAGAAGTACGTGCTGGTGCACCGCGCCGAGCCCGACCAGGAGGCGGCCATGAGGAGGCTGAAGAAGGAGCCGCGGAAGGAGAGGGCTGCCCTCCTCGGCGCGGTGGTGGACAGCGCCCTCACAGACCTCAGAAAGGACTTCGCGCTGCTGAGGGACTGGCACTCGCTGAAGGAGATCAACCAGACCCTGGGCGTCACTTGCGAGGCACTCCTCAGTCTGGAGGACGACGCCTGGTCGGCTTGGGGCTGGCTGGGTCTGCGCTGGGCGCTGTTCGTGGTGGGGGAGAGGGTGAAGTACTCCTGGCTGTCGCCGAACCTGTCCCCCCGCTGGGCCGTCCTCGTGGAGGCCATGGCGCCCGGCGGCGTCCTGAAGGTAATGTCTACCGTCCGGGACGACCAGGAGCACGGGGAGGACGGCTCCAACGCCAAGACACTGGCCTTGTCGAAGATGAAGCAATCAGAGCGCAAGAAGCTGGCTGAGGAGTTGGAGAAACTGAGGAACGCGGCGTTTGTAGCTTCATGTGTCGCGGGAAGCGAGATGGGGGACAACGCCGAATGTGGCTGGTTTGAGACATGTAGAGGGAACTTAGCCAAGGATAGCAATGCTAACTGCTCGGAAAACTTAATTATTGACGAAGTGATTAAATTGTTAAAACCTGCAAAACGTTTAGCGAAAGAGAAATTTCAAAACATTGTCAGCTTTTCTCTAAAACTGAAGAATTTTTTAAAATTATTTCAAAAAGAAAACACATTCCTTACAACGTTTTTACGTGTCAACATGTTGACTTTGTCACTTCGTTTCTTTGTCCTCGTTGCTGAATTCGCTTTAGCATATGTTCCGCAAATACTACCTCGTGTCATGCGTCTCACCGTATCTAAAAGTACAGAGAGTACAATAGGATTTCAGAATGATCTTAATAAAATCACTCTGCCAACTAAAAGCAGTCACCAGCTGACCATCATACGCGAAGTCATTAAAGCCATTTCAAATGTCACGGCTCCACTGGCTGAGTTCGCTTTCCTCGGAGCTTTAAGGGAGCTCGCGTCTCGCTGGCACGAGGACGACATTGTTGTGCCCACGACCGTTCCCTTCTCTCCCGCCCTTTTCGGACGCCAGCTACGGAATTACCTGAACCACCTCGATGAGGTCTTCGCTGTGAACTCATTTTTATCACAAACTTCACTGACGCTTCGTCAACTTCACGCAAAAAAGGAGAATCAAAATACACGTATTTCCAAAACTGCATTTACTAGGTTCAGCTCCCCTTTCGATCTAGAGATGCTTCGCTTTCTTCTCTTAGGAGCCTGCTCAGTCATACCACTGGAGCCCAACGGCGCCAGGCCGCGGCTGCGAGACCTGCGGTGGTCCCGGGCCGAGAACGAGCGGCTGCTGCGCCTCGTGGAGCTGAAGAGCGACATGTTCCGCTGCGCGAGAGAGGGTGACCTGGGCGAGCTGCAGCGCCTGGTGGAGGAGGACGGCGCCGACGTGAGCGTCAGGGACTGCCAGGACCGCACCCTGCTGCACGCCGCGGCCCAGGGCGGCCAGGTCCACGTGGTGCGGTGGCTGCTGGGGCTGGGCGCCGAGGCCGTGGACCCGCTCGCCAAGGACTGGAGGGAACACACAGCCCTGCACGTGGCTGGGACCGCGGCCGCGGCGGAGGCGCTGCTAGTTACAGGTGAGCAGCCCGTAAAGACGACCACACCCGGAAAATAAAACTTAAAACAAAACAATGTTCAGGAAGAGGCCGGGTTGCTTAAAACAAACAGTTTTTGATTAATCGATACCAATAATCTTGATTTGAATCAATGATTTCCGTGGGAAATGACCAAGGCCAAGAAAATTGTTCTGTTGAATCAAAGATATTTACTTGGTATGATGGAACTAATTTTTCAATGTGATTTCCTATTAAAGTAATCCGTTTCCTGCGTGTAGAAATCAAATACACGCTCTGTAACCAACGTCTGTTTTATGTTCTGCAGTGCAAGACCGACCCTGGCTGCCTGCCAATGACGCTGTAGTCGAGGGCCGCGCCGAGGTGTTGAGAGTGCTGCTCGGAGACCGTCGCGTCCTGAACGCGGTACTCCAAAGAGGGCAACATCTCCTACTTCTAGCTGCCATTGGAGGGCGCGACCAGGTGGTGCGTCTGCTTATCGAGGCCGGTATGCAGTACAAGGAGGGCGGCGAGCAGACGGCTCTTTGCGCTGCTGCGCTCTGCGGCAGCGTGCCCACCGTGCGGCTGCTGCTCGGTGCCACTCCTCCACCCTCTGACGGGGACTGCTGGGAGGCCACTCAGGAGGCCGCTTTCCGTGGACACGAGCAAGTCTTCTGCCTTCTGCTAGACGAGCTTCGAGCGCGGGCGCGCAAGTGCAGGTGGCGCGTGCAGTCATCCCCCCACCTGTCCTTAGCCGTGCTGGGGGCGGCCGCCGGAGGGAACGACGCAATCTTGCTGAGGCTGCTGAATCTCTGCCCTGGCGCCGTGAGCTGGAGCATGGCTGACTCAAATGAGTCGGTGCTCCACTTCGCTGCAGTTTTTGATCGCGCCACGATTACTCGTACTCTCCTAGAACGCGGAGCTGACCCTTTCCTCCAGGTTGACAATGGTGAAACAGCACTTGACCGGGCAGCATTCAATAGTAGCCTGGACACCATCGACGTCCTGGTCGAGCACATCCGGAAGCGCGGCGGCGGCTGCGTGAGGGCGGCCCTCGGGCGGGCGCTGTGCGCGGCAGCACAGGGCGGTCAGCTTCATGCGGTGGAATGCCTCGTCCGCCACGGCGCGGACATTGACGCGTTGGTCACAACAGTGACACATAGTACAACCGACGAGGTTACACCCCTATCCACGGCTGCTGCAATGGGCAGCAGCAAGGTGGTGCAGTGGCTGCTGCAACAGGGGGCCGATCCGCGCCTAGGCAAGGCCCCTGCTCTCCACGCGGCTGCCATGTGGGGTCATCTGGGCGTGGTCAAGCTACTCGTGCCGCCGCTGCACGCGGGGGACCAGGCCCAGGACGACCCTCCTGGCTGCGAGGAGCCGTCAGCCCTGAGCGTGGCGGTGCAGGCCGGCTCGCGGAAGGACCTGCAGCGGATCTTCGATCGGTTCGTGGAGCACCTCCGGCCCCTCTCCAGCAGGTACACGAGGGAGGACAGGCTCCGGGACAAGGCCGAGGCGGCGGCGGCGCTGAGAAGGAAGGAGAAGGAGGCAGACAAGCGCCTGCGCCTGCTGCAGCAGGTCGACAGTGATGGCCGCACGGCCCTGCACGCGGCGGCATTAGTGAGCGCGCTCCCCATCGTGGAGTACCTGCTGGAGCGGGAGGCGGAGCTCCTGCGCCGGGTCTACTCCAAGCACAAGAACACCGGCGTGCCGCGGCTGGACGGCCTCAGCGTGTACGCGCGGGACGCTAAGGGGCTGACCGCCCTGCAGCACGGCGTTATGATGCCCTGCGCGCCGAGCGTAGCCGAGGCGCTGCTCGAGCGGATGGCGGACGAGATGTGGCTGGCCCTGGGCCACAAGGACCTGCGGGAGGTGCGCGGCATGGCCGTGGAGGCCCTGGAGGTCGCCGCTACTCCACCAGATGGCGGCCCCCTGATCCGCACGCTCTGCGGGTGGGTCAGCAGTAAAGGGGAGGGCCTGCTGGGCGCGGGCGGGCTGCAGGACATCCGGCGCAGGGCCGTGGCGGCGCTGGGCTCCGGGCAGGACGAGGAGTGGAGCCGCGTGCTCGTCGTGCTGCTGCTGCTCAGAGAAGTACCCCTGGAGCTGGTGGCTGCCTCAGAGGCGGCGCTGCCGCCCCTGCGCCGAGCCGCCGCCCTGGCGATGTCCGCCAGCCTGCGGCACGGCGCGCGCGGAGAGATGGCGGTGCAGCTGTTGTGCCAGTGGCTGTGCGACCTGAGCGAGGACACCGTGCACGAGGACAAGCTGCTGGGGATGGTCAGCGAGGCGGTGAGAATCTCCGAGGGGAGCGACCACCGACTGTTCGACCTGTACAGGAGCGTCATGGCGGACTACTTCCTCACCCGCCGGTGAACGGCTGCGGCGCCGCGGGCCACTCTGTGTACAAAACGCACTAGTGATTATACTCTCTCTCAGTCAATCACCTTTATCTCTTGTACTGTACCTGTTCTTGTAGTTGGTTTTTGTTTTTTCAATAAATGAATTTCTATAAACTGTTTCTTATCTATTTCTCCTGCTTGTAAGCACATATCGAGACGGCAGAGGACGGAGTGGTGAGGTATAGGCGGTCGAATAGCTATCTAACGACCGACGACGGGGGGAGGGAGAGGGGAGTCGAAAGGAAGACGTGGAGGAGGCGGCCGAAGCGGGGCCGCGCGGCCTGGAGCTCTAGAACCACCTGAAGTGGCGCGAATAAGGCGTCGGCCCGGAGGAGGAGGGTCGCCCTGGAGGGAGAGAGAGGATGGGGCGGAGCGGACAGCAGGGGCCTGCAGGCGTGGTAGGGCGTTGGGGCAGCCACAGGAGGGCGATAACTGGAGCCCCGCCCCGCCCTG